CAGTTCACCAATGACTTGCTGACCAAGTACTTATTGCTTATAGATTTTTTCCTTTCACTTTTTCTCCGTACTGCCGCTCATTTTCGTCACTCAGGACAACCACATCGGGACTATTTGGAATGGTGACAGTTTTATCCGGGTCTTCAATTTCCATTGCAGATGCATGACTACCAATGTCAATATTAAGTAGCGCTTCACTTCTCGTTAGTTTTAACGGAAATTTCACTTTTCCATCAACCACAGTAGGGTGTTTAACTCGTCCTGTAGCAGCACGTACAACACCACCACATTCTTCACTGTCAGTACTTGTGTAACCAACGCAACCACTATCTTTCTTTTTACAGGCCAAAGCTAATAGGCTCATAGCCTCCTGGATCAGTAACGTCTTATTTGTACAGCAAAGCATGCAAAGCAGATGCGAGTTAGGCTACGAGCATCTTTTGTGTGCAGTGGGACTTCAACGGGCTTACATCTTATGGAACCAGTTTTAACACTAATCACATTGCATTAATTCATCCACAGGGAATAAATAGTTCGACTGTCCACATTTATAAGTACTACCAATCATTGTGATCAGATCAAGAAGGTTTAAAACACAATATGAACACAAGTGTAAGAGTCAATGAGAAAGAAGTTACCACAAGACAAAGTTTAGCAAAATTCCAAACCTCAACCGAAATACTTCAAGTTAGAGTAGATCAAGAATAGTTTTTGATGCATCAAGTACACAAAAGCAAAAATAATCACAGCAAGTACGAAATCACTGTGTAACGGAGTTGAAATTGCTATGTATGATATACTAATGCATTCTATTTTCTTTTTATTACAGGGCGACCAAACATAAACTCTTTAGAGGAAGAAAAGCAAGCCCTATGTACACTAAGCTTACAGGATGACTCATAAGACTACTTTGTAAACGGACTCTTCCCGCTGTACTCTCGCGCACCACGCGCTTTTTGATTTTGAAATAAAGAGGCTCGTGATTCTCACTGTGTTCTCTCTTGGTGTGAAGTCCTCGTTTAACATTGTGTGCTGTGCTGTTTTTCAGATCTGTCCTGCTGTTCTCTAACTGCTGACTCCACGTGTTACAACTGCCCTTTTCGAAACACGCGCGAACTTCTACTGCTGTATTATTTAGGGCTAATGACATATAACCAAAAAACAGTTTGTGAGTTTTGATTTTTGTCAGCTTGAAAACGTCCTACTGAAAAACATTCCGACTAGAGACATTAAATCAGGATATAACCGTAATTTATAATTCAATCTCTCAAATTTAGGTATATATACCCAAAATTGATAGAATTATAATTCAGAGTAAAATATCTCCAGGTTTGTGGCTTTAATTGAATCTTAAGTTGATTTTGGGAAATCTCTAAGTTCCTACGGGATTTTAAGGAATATTGGGAATAATTATTCCCAATATTTCCTTAAAATTTACCCAGTATATCCAACAACTTGGAGAAAATCCATTAAAGTTCGCTGATAAAACCTTAAACTTTCCGCAATGTCTTGGATAAATCGTATGGACTTCCTTGAGAGTTACTCTGAATTTTTCACTGAATTCAGTAAATAGGAGCGTTTTTCTTATTTGCATTGAATTTTCCGCACTTAATTCTATTTAAAACCACTGAGCTATTGTTCTTCATGTTGCACATCTCTTTAAAGGGAATGACCAACGTAGCTTGCATAAGCGTTCTACATAGAGCTTACGTACACATTTTTCAGGAATAATTAATATCTTCATATTCATTGCGATTAAGTTAGTGTGTTTATCACGTAGAAATCGTATCTAAATCGCCTATACCTTTAAGACCATGTGGAATGTACACTAATTATGGAAGGTAATGTAAAGACGTTTGCTGAATTAAAAACTTACGGTTAGGTCAGTATTTACTTGTGAAGCCAGCTGACAAGGAAGTATACCGTAAATAATAATTTAAAGATAAGCCATTTGCAGAAACTAATAGGAACATTTTCAGATATTCGATAATACTCATGACTTCTATTGAGCTTACCTTTTCGTTGAATCGCTATTCACGCTTATTTACTTTATCCCGTGAGTCGTGCGCCCAGCTTACAATATCCATCGCTTTTTATCTCATAATCGAGACAGGTCGGACTTTTAAACCGTTAACAAAGAACACCGTGTAAAAATGTTGACTGTAATCTTGACTCACTGCAAGCTGTTCTGTAGGATCGGTAGTTACATCGGTTTTGCTGTTAGTTCCGTGTAAGGTGTAAATAATAGTCAGTCTAGGCACCGACACGTAAGCTAAACAAGCCGTTGCAGACTTCCAAGGATCATCATGAATAGTCTTCGGCTATTTCACCACCTTAAATTTTACAAAAATCAACTGTCAAATTGCGAACTAATCATGGGATCCTCGTTCATCCAATGCAGCCTCTGAGATACGTAGTTTTTGTGTTTTTAACAGGAATCCGAAAAAAGAAGACTGCAGCAGCTAATCCTGTCTTCGACCACGTCAGATGAGCTTCTGCTGTAAGAAGTCAGTTAGTCGATCTCATTAAGTAGATCAGTAGTCGCTTTAAGAATAATTTGCTATGATACGTTATCAATATGCAACCTATTTGTAAAAAATTTAGTATGAGTACTCGTTTACAACAACAGCAGAAGATGAGAGTGGTGGTGAAAACACTTATGTTTTGGAAGAAGTCCCTTATGAGCATGTACTCAGCGGATACTTACTTAGCTATTAGTGAAAAGTTCTCAATCAAAATGTTGACGACCGGAAACTCAATAGGAACACATCCAGTCTCCATTTTAGCCACCTCCAGAGGTCTACAAGTTGTCGTCCATTCTTCGTTTAACAATCCTGACAACAAATTTATCGCAACAATTAATTAGTTGTTTCATTACGAATTCGAAATCAGATAACATTGTAGATGACACCTTTATTTCGAACCCCAGTAACTTATAATTGAAAAAAACACATCTTAAGTGGTCGTGAAGCATCAACACCACCATGGAGGGGGAGGGAGCAAAATAACCTGAAGCGTTTGATCTTCGCGATAATTCAAAATAAAACTGCAATCAAATCATATGGTCGTTTACTCATTAATTGTGCGTTATTGGGTCTCCCGAGCGACCAACGAATGTCATGGTTAGTGTTCAAGGCGATCTTATAGTATTGTCTATGAATCTCATTTCGTCGACATTTTGAGATCTTTGCGCAAACCTTGAGAAAATATCTAAGAAGTCAGTAACTGAAAGCTGTAATAAATTTGTAAATGTACATGAATGAAATAAGTTTTTGAAAGTGTACCAAGGTATTTCCAAAAAGTACTACATGGTTGCAAGTTGCAAAACAAAAAAATATTTTGAAATTTAGGGAAAGAGACCACTCCATGTGCAGTTCGCGTCATCATCCTCGAGAAAGCAAAAACAAATATCTGAAGTGAATAACATGAACTTGTTATATCTCTCCAGGTTCTTGCTAGCTTCTAATAACCTGTAATATTTAAAAATCAAGATTATAGAGAGGGTTAAAAATACCTACGAAAACAAATTTAATTGAGGTTCATTGTGGTCGCATATCACCTTGGCTAGCAAAGATTTGAGAGGTTGGTTAAAATTTTAAGTATATACTCATTCAATGTATATATTCAAAGAACATTCTACAAGGTTGATGGTAAAAAGATAGAAACAAGTGGTAACGTAATGAGCAGAGCTAAGCAAAGTGATCTGAGGGCTTGTTTACAAAAATATTTCTTTTTGGTTATATGACTTACTGATATCAGAACAAATTATGGTTAAAACTACACCTGCGGACTTCCTACCTGAACAATGTAGGTTTAGTGCAAAGTCGGTTGCTGTTGCATTTATTCTTCATTTTCCTATATATATTTAGTGAAGTAAAGCTCCTAGATTTTCATTCCTTGGCCCTATTTCTTACCTTCAAACTGTAAATCTTATCATACTGCCCCCAAATTTCCTAGTATGACCGAGAGCGGGGAGGGTCCGCCCTCTCAAAATGCTATCACACGGCCACGCGTATACAGCCTCTGCCAGGGAAGTCCTACTCACCGCCTTCTGGCGGCAGGGGTGTTGTTTACGAAATCGGGAGGACGAAAAGCGAGTGTCCTCAGCTTTAACCGGGATCGTGGATACGGATTGTCCGTCTAGGGGAGTTGGACAACCCTGATTCCAAACCATTAGTACACATGGGCTCCAGGATCCTAAAGGGGAAAATGACGTATGAACCTACTGTTGTTCATCGACTACCATGGAAGTGCATCTCCTTACGTTGCTCCACTGTCTTGTGGACCAGAATTTTAGGTCAAAGGCTGTGGGCGTGGCCCCCTGAGGAAACCACCTGCTTCGGTCTTGGCACCCGGGCAGTATCATAGCCCTCACACAATTAAATGACGCATTTACATCTGGTTCCCCCCTTGTATCAATATTTATGCCTTCAAATAAATAAACAAATATAAATAATGGTATCATACTCACTACAATTGAAATTATATTCTTACCTCAGTTTCTCATTTTAATTTTTTTCTGTGATCCTGATGGGTATGAAAATGTAAGCCCATACACATTCGTGCTAGGTACTGCGTTCATAACCGACTGTATTCATGGCTCTCTCATCATAGCACATCTTATCAAACTACGGATGAAACATATGGCAACTCGAACTGATGTACGTACGTACGAAGTTCTACGTTGTGACTGACTGACATAATGTGATTTCAATTTGCTTTATTTCTTACCAGGATGCTTTTTAGTCCAAGATGTATTTTCATCAACATACATGTTGAGATGTGTTTTTTTTCATTCCGTCAAACCTTCACCATTACCTTGAGTTCATTTTTATGGTAGGTTTGGTCTGGTTTAAAACAATATTTGATTTCTACAACCGATCGTGGTCGCTAATATTTTTTCTCTTTACAGATGAGTTGGTAGGTTAAGTATACATCAGTAGTTTTACCATAAATGCTCAATTTATATAGTCCTGCTTATTTACTTGATTGTGCTTAAAATGTCGAAGTTAGACGAAATAATACCAGAAGATGGCCTAGACAGTTTGTCAGGAAGTATTTCATCTAGTCTAGGTAAACCGTTTTTGACTGAAACTTTCTAAAGTTTCTCTTAGTTGGCAATACATACGCTGTTGAGTCAATAAATGATGTCTTATTAATGCTTTCAAGGGGATCTGGTTTTTCAGAACTATTCAGTGAAAGTGAACAGAAATGGTTCGAAGATTTTCAAAAGTTATCAAGTACGTTTTGGGTATTTCTATTTGCTATTTATACTCCTAATTTTTGAACAGATCTGTCCAAATCATTGATCATTCGCTTATATGGTCGGTCTCAAAAGATTTTTCGAAAATCAGATCTTATGAACATTATTCCGAATGACATTGATCAATGCTTAAGAGAACTAAACAGTTTAAAATTTCTCTGTACAGGTTTAGTTAAAGCTGCAATTAAAAACTCATAATTAATGCATACTGCTTTAGATATGCAATCGTTATCAAGTGAGATGTTGGTACATGCTCTTAACCGTCAGGAGCTGGACCAGTTAGCTAGGATGTATAACATCAAAAATTTCAAAAGCTTAACAATGATTCAATTGAGAGATACTTTGTTAAAAACTTCATCTGTTTCACCTATGGCATCATTTTTCAAAGTTTCTATTCAGAGTAAAGATAGATTTAAAGAAATGTAAGTTGGAAAGAGCATTTTAATATTTCGTTATTCCATTAATTCATTTCTGTTTTATTTATTCAAAAAGGTTATTTTAACGTTAGGAATAATTTGTCGTTCTTCCCCTTACTTTATAGACACTTTTTTGATTAGAACAATATCCCGAGAATTAGATTTTCCTTCCAGATAGCCCTGTGTACATACTCGATAAAATTTTTTGTATTTGCAAGTTAAAAAGTGATGTGGGAATAAAATGTCACCGTCAAAAATGTATCATATTGTTTTTTTGTAAACATAATCGTGTTTAAAGAAATTTGTCTACGTGATTAAATTGACACATAATTCTTTACTATCTTTTTCTAATATATACCTAATTTTAAAAAGACATTCAGGATGGAATTAATATTCAAACTTATTTCAGTGTATGATTTTCCCTAATGGAATTAAGACAGAATAGCTAGTGGCTAGATATCGTTATGATTGTTTTCGCATTTTTCAGTAAAAGTCACATCAATCAAAGAGGGTATAACCTATCATCAAGTTTAGTGATTGCAAGGTGTTACACATGCCCAGCTACCATGTATACGGTTTCTCAATATTCTCTGGGATGAGAATGGGTGGAAAAAACTCTACAGATGTCCAAATCCAGATTTGACAACAATGAATAAGTCCACTAACTGCTAGTGGTGAGATACAGATCACTTAATCATCAAAGAAGAACACGTTAGTCGGAGGTTTTAGGTGACATAACTCAAGATCGGTCAGTAGTACAATTCTATTCAATATTTATCCTTCTTTATGTTATGGCCTATAGGCCGTCAATTATCACGCCACAAGATCACCGGTCCGAACACCGACGTATACGACCGTGGCCCCGTGCCAAACCAATGACGTGTTCACCAGCGCGAGCAGCCTGGAGTCAACTCTGAGTCTCTATTAGTTATTCTCGCCAAGCCTTGCCCGTATGAGTCCAAAACGCAATCCTAGCTTCCACTATATGAATCATGTATTTCAGACATACGCAGTTTATATACAAGCAAATCAGACCGCATCATACCATAAAATAGAAAATAACAATTATACAGGATCAAACCAAAAGTGACTGTGTGTAAGAGACTGTAACTTATAAACAGGGAATAACTTAAGAATAGTAAGTCGTATAATAGTAGTCAGTAGGTCAAATAAAAGCTTGTGATAAGAAGGAATATAAATATGTATAATCTAGTGAATTAATAATTATACAATAAAAATATGTATATAATAACAGTCCATAAATAATTCCTAGCCGTTACCATTCATTTATTCGTTAGAATATAACACTTTACATTTTGAACATCGTATTATTCCATAGTTTTAGTTCCTCGATCTTGTTCTTTGTTTTCGAAGAACATTTCATGCATTTAGTTTCTTACTGCTATTGGAACCATTACTTACTCTTCATCGCCTGTCCTAGTTTCCTCTTTCACCGCAAAGGTGTTTGGCTCATTGGACCAATACACATTCATACCAAGTCTTACGTTGTCTGTGAGTAAGCGATCAACTTCCTAGTCCTTATATTGCAGTTGAATTTCTTTAACCATATTACTTCCGCTAATTATTTATTTAATCTTTGCAATTTCTTTATTTCGTATTTGACTTAAGTTTACTGTAGAGTTTCTTTGTTTACCAAACTTAAACTGTCTTGTCTCATGTTCCATCGTTTCCGTACATGACACGAGTAATTTTTTAGTGTATTTCGGTAAAATCCATAACACCTAGTCTTTTATTTTTCCATTGTCATGAAAATAAAAATTGAGTTGCATGTCAACTTTCAATAGTTTTTATGATCATTGTGATGTAAAAATCTGCAGTATTGGTATGTTTTTACTGTTTTGATTGTTGTATTTATCAATCAGAAATATTACATTATAAGATAGTTTCGGTTGTGAATTCCACTATTTCTGATTGGCATTTCTTGTCACTTCATTTTTGAAGTCTTCCGGGATGAATATCATTAGATGCTCTTAGAAAATATTTTTTTTCTAAACTGTGTGATTAACTTGGGAACACTTTATGTATACAAACTCTTATTATGCAGTATTACTAACTAATTAACTGTTCCTAGTCTTTGTGCTTGATATGATTTTATCTTATGAATAAATAAATAAGTAGACGAATATTGTTGATCTTTTATGTTTTGTCGTCACGATTTTCTCTTTCCATAGTAAAGCATTATTTGTTTATTTTGATCTTCATCCATTTCGATGTAGAATAACTCGAATTCTTCATGGTTGCTGGTATGTGGACGAGACATATACGCAGCTAATTACTCAATTACTTTGGTTAACGTCTCTTGGTTCTGAATCAGCATATAATAGACCGAATAAATTACAGTCGATTGAAGCCATTATGAAAACTGAGCTGTGAGATATTTTTTTACATATTTCTTGTTTTACACTGTTATATTTGTGGATATAGATCTTGGTTACGAACAAACATAAACTAAGTAATCACTAAGAGACCAGGAAGCACTGAATTATTGTTTTGTGTTAATCCCAGGATTCCTTAGTAGTGCTCGCTCATGATTCATACGTGGTCGAATCAAGGCCTTTGATATCTCTCAGTGAACATAATCTCATTCAATGACATTCAATCTAGTATATATTGCGATTATTATGCTATTTAATTGGTAAAATATTGTCTTATCCTTGAAACATTTGGTTCTATAGGTTAACGCACTCTCTATAAATTTAGAAAATTTATCTGGAATCAAGCTACATGCGAGAAAATCTTTTACAGACATGTTAACACGATATCCTGTACGTTTATGTATATATAGAATAACTATACCTTGTTTTCATCATTAGATAAATAATCTGAAGAAAAGTAAATTTCAACTAAAAAATTATGCGTTCCTAAGTATTCTTAATACTGGTCAACTTCTGTATACAAAAAACTTGATTGATATCGGAAAAGACGATCCACACTGTGTGACACAATGTAGTTGTATTTAACCTTTTTTAAACGGAAATAACCTGTGAAACTTAACAGTAACTGTCTTGATCACATCATTTTCATTCAAATTAAACAATGTCAGTAACTATGTACGAAAAATATTTTTTTCTTTATTGTAGTAACATTTAACTTATTATTGGGTGAAAATCATTGGGTATAGCCATCTCGTTAATTTGACCGTCCAACTCACATATAAAACGATACAAGTATTCGGACTTTTTAAAAACTCGAAAAAAGTTTTAAGCGATGTAACGTGAAATGTAAACGGGTGAAACGTACGTTCACTCTACCCTAATGGGCATTTCTGAATCACATTGATTGTTATCTAATTAACCGTTCCTCATAAAATAAATCTTTTCCGTCTAATAATCGGCTCGTCATGATTGATCGAGACTTCGTGGTTTAACGTTTTAGAGTCTTTCAAAAGTTTTTATAGCTTCATCTCTGGTGGTTATCCAACTCAGACACCTAATGTTTAATTGTTCAGTATATTCTGATGATCCCATTAGGTTACCTTACTTTGTAGACTACTGTTTTTATTTATAGCCTTATTCCATAATGGACCGGATTGTTACAGTCTGTTCCTGACTGTGCCAAAGTGTGTAAGCTATAGGTTAAGATGGGGTTTCATTTCCAACTCAAGAACATTGTATCACGATTCTACCTAGTCAATTGATTTGGATTCTAAAATTCATACTTAGTTCTAATCAGCCATTTCGGAATAATCTGCATCTCATTTTAAGAGGATATTTCACTTCTATACTTTTTAAATTGGATATTATACTTGTTGTAAAATCTTAGTTTGTAAAAACTAAATTACAGTCTGTATATAATGGTGTTGTCCACGGATTATTCATTACTCTCAATTGAATTTATTTTGTCCATTTCGATCGATTTTTTTTTATTATATTCGTTTATTGTTTGCTCCTACAGATATTCAATGATGCTTGTTCGTCGAGGTGAACTTGTTTTTCCATCATACGTAGTCAATCGTAAATCTACAATATATCATACAAGTGACGAATTTCAAAAGTTTGTTACATATTAGTACAAATGAATACGATTACCTGTTGTTTTCTTGTTTTACTCGAAGGTTTCTGGAATTGATGGGTTTGGAAATTCGTTTAGAATATTTAATTAGTCAAAAATTATATGATCTTGCTTTACAATTATGTTTGGATAATAAAACTAAGTTAATCGGCGAAGTTACGAAGTAAGGACAATCTTTTGCTAATTACAGATTTATTCTATACATGTACAGAAACTAATTATTTATCATTTTCCGCATTTATCAGAAAAGAATTTTTTCATATTTGGTCGGATATCAAAGCTAAATATACACGTTTTTATGATGGTAGGCCTTACGTTACGCCTACTATTTGGTGATTATGTTAACTACCGGTCTAGTATAATAGGGTTTATACTCTCGTTTAAAAGTAAGGTTTTTGTAGCCATTCCGCCTTAGCTTAACTTTACTGGCATTAGATGATGAGAAAAAGAACAAACAAATTCGTAGTCTGTCCATTAATATTGAGTTTTTAAGTATGAGAAGGCGAGACTGATGGTTGACTGAGATTTGGGTTCAGTGAGAATTTTCGAAGGTTTATTAGTAGATTATGAACTGCTTTGGCGATAACTTAAATTATTCACAGTCGATTTCGAGGTAATATTTGTAGCAAGTATTCGTAGTCTTTGAAATTAGTATGATCGCCATCCACAATCAGGACGGTGGCTTTGAGCATGTAATGAAAGCGTAATGTTTAAACACTGACTTTCAATAATTTGGTCCTAAATTATAAACTTCATCATCCTACTTTAATTTCGGTGTCCGGATGGCATCAATAATCCTCTCACATACAATTATTTCTTGTCATCGTGTAACCTAATGTGTACTCGGCCATCGAACCACATTGAAAAGTTGGAAATTTCAAGAAGAGATGTTTAACAAATATCTATTCTTCGGGAATTTCGGTGGTTGCTTGTTGTATGAATCGTAGTTTGTAACTAAAGTGCTTCAAGTGCCGTTTACTAAACAGTAGTGCTATCAAATATCAATCTAAATCTTTTGTCAACTCACAAAGGTTGTAACTTAAAGCGTACTCGTGCAATACTAGTACGTTAGTTCACAATTATATTATATTTTGCTGTGTTAAAAAATAAACAAAACGGTTGATATGGATGAAGCAAATAGTTGGAGAGTGATAAAATGTTCAGTACTCATAACGATTTAGTATACTCCCATCAGTCTGATCGATTTCGACTCATATCAGCTGACGACCAGTAACTTCACTAACTAACCCGTTTTAGTTTGTTTACCATTAACTCCTCAAAATTTGTAAAACATTTCATTTAGCACAGATTTTCGTCGTCTTTATTGGTCAATATTTTTTATTCATATTTTTACGTCTAATCTAAAGACATACATTTTTAGCACATACACGTAAGGTTCCGAAAATCTTTATGATGAAATTCTTGTGTCGTTCATATTTTTTTCCACCTTAAATAATTGACGGTGAAAACTACGCTAAGTGCTACTCTATGGGCCCTTCTGCACAAAGTTTTTTCTATAACTTTTCTTGGACAGAATAAACTGTTCGCATTGCTCACTTGTTTTTAGTAACTTTGATTATTTTTTGGTTGTCTAACTGTACCTCGTTAATTTTGGCGTTTCAATTTGTGATGTTAACTATAATTTGTGAAACCGGAAAGCAATTATAAAATAGTTCTGTATCGGTTTAAGGTAAGTTTAACACGGAAGTGTGTCCATTCGTAACAATAAACCTATTGTTTAAAGCCATCTACAAAGTAAATATAAACTTTCCGAAGAGATTATGCTCCAGCTTTCATATTTTTAGATGCTCTGTCATTCATATAAACAGTGACAAACTGTTTATAAGAGTAGCTTATGCGACCTCGTACTATAGTTTTAATCTGTAGTTCCGGCAGATCGCCAAAAGTTAAATTCTTATTTCCTGTTTCTATAGCACGTTCGATCATAGTTTATTTTCATAATCGTTTCCTATAATTGTGTCATATATTATATAAAAATTTACCCCTGTTTGGTGAACTTGAAGCTATTTGATCAAAATGTGAGTTCCAATTCGACAGATTCTTAGCAAGTGTCCATATCCGTTGTGTGTTTATTTCACCCCACCTCTTTTTTCAAATATATTCTTCACTTTCTAATCACTTGCAAACATTACATTATGTAATTCTTAATGAATGTTTTTTAAGTTTCTGACTTATTATTATGAAATATTGATTCAAGGTTTTATAATTCTGACCACAACGATTATGCATGTCATCACCATCAATCCGTGCTTTTTACCTATCATGTTTAGTTATATGGTCTATTTCGTTGTTATCATTGGCTCATAAACTGACTTGTTGGTTTAATATTTCCGTATATGCATTTGAATACACCGTGTGTTAGAGTGAAGCATGATGAGGATCTAACTGAAAGTAATATTGTTCGTTTATACGTGTTGCCCTTATTTACAAAGTGGGAATTGTTAATATTTAAAGTGTCAAACCATAAATAGTATCACAATGAATAACCATGTAAAGATTTCAGAGAAATGTCGGCTTCAAGGTAACAACAGTCGCATCACTGTAATTTGACATTTCAAAGTACATAAATTTTGGTAGCAAACACTAAGCTTAACCGGTAATCAAACTGTACTGTACAATAGTTTGGTGAGCTTGTTGAAAATCAATTTAATCCATCCTATTTCCTTATGTTTCTTCTTTATCACGAGTGAACTTATTCCATTGCTGACTAAAACGGATTGCAAAGTGAAATTTGTAGTTTAATTACTCAAAATATTTTCTTATTACCTAAATAAAGCACACTTCTTTTCCCCAAATCAGTTTTGTTTCTTCATTACACTGTTGAAATTGAAAGAATCGAGTAGTTTTTAGGAAGTCTGTAAAGACATACGATTGTGTTTATGGTAGATCTAAATGTAGATAGTTACAGTAGTGATATTTATGCAGCTTAAAGTAATCACTTTTTTCATTTTAGTTTGTCATATTCGTTATTCGTTTGTGTTTATCTTTAGCCTTTCATTTCGCCGTATTGATCTACCTCAATTTCTACGGCGTTTCACTTCACCATATCGTGCATTTCGTTCATTACTACTAATGATCGATATATATGAGCGTCAGAGAAAGTATAATGAAGCCATTAAACTAATTGAAACATTATTATCTTTAACTTGGTCATTACATAATGACGATCAATTTCTAAACTTTAAATTAACTGGTTGTGTTCTAGATCAGCTTGGTCCTTGTCGTTTAGGTTATCTGTTAAATCGTTATATCATTAATCAAGGCACACATGAGAAACAACCAATTAAAGCACTTAAGTACGTGACTAATTACTTCAAATTATACAATGAATGTCAGTGTCTAAGAGCTGGCCGCCGTTTAATGATTCATGAACAGCTAATGAAATTGTTTGACGGAGTGAAAAAAGAAGAAAATAATCACCGTAGATCACAAAATGGTTATACTACTGCTGCTACTACCACTGAAAACGTTACCAATAATAAACCATCTAATGCTGGTGATGATAAAAATAATGCTTCTGACCGTAATGGAATAAAAAATACAACCAGCCAAGTGAAACGTAGAAAAATCCAAAAGCCTGTCAATATTCACGGTAAAGATTGTGAGAATAACAATGATAGTACTGAAGGAATTTGTCGTACGAATGAATTTTTTATTGACAGTGAAAAAGAAGAATCACTCACGTCGATACCTTCGCTTGTGATTAATATCAAAGAACCTCCTAAAGTAAACTAAAGTAACTTAAAATTCTATTCCCTGATATTGTTTGGTATACATTTCTTTGTTAATTTATATAAAAATTGATTTCGCAATTAAAATTATTCGATATCGTTTATAATGTTTGGTATTACTTGACAAAAGAATCAGCTAGTTCGTCAGTCATAAACAACGTAGAACGAGTGAATTCATGAAATAAAAAGTATGTAATAATATTAGGACTCGATATTTAGAGTAAAACAAAGAATGTGTCTAGTGAATTTTAAATCATATAACTCAGGGTTGTTAACTTCGACCATCGATTCCGTTTTTCCTCTTAAGTCTTAGACAGTCATTAACTGATTGCATTTTTTTGTTTATTTTGCCGTAGCCCTCTTTCAGTCTACTACAATGCTCAGTTGTAAAGTGATTTGTGGATAGATCATATACTAGTACTCGAAAAATACTTAGTTCAATCTACTCAGTCATAGCTCTCAAATGTCCTGGTACAACCGAAAGTGAGGAGAGTCCGCTCTGCCTTTCGAAAGCTCTCACATGGTCAGGTGCATGCAACCACTGCCAGGAAAGTCCTACTCACTGCCTTCTGGCGGCAGGGGTGTTGTTTACGAAATCGCGAGGACGAAAAGCGAATGTCCGGAGCTTTAACCGGGTTCGTGGGCATGGAGGGTCTACCTAGGGGAGTTGGAAAACCCTGATTCCAAACCATTGGTACACATCATTTATAGGATCCTAAACAAACAAATAACATGAACCTATTTTTGGACACTGACTACCATGGGACTGCATCTCCTTACGTTGCTCCACTGCCTTTTGGATCAGACCTTTGGGTCAAAGGCTGTGGGCGTGGCCCCCTGAGGAAACCACCTGCTTCGGTCTGGGCACCCGGGTAGTATCCCAGCCCTCACACGAATCGAATGATTTTTGTGGCACATATCCATTTAGTGCCTCTTTGTACCAATGTTTATGTGTTTAAATAAATACAAACATCATCTGACTTGGTTTTACGTTGTCCCCTACTCCAGTCGGACTTACTCTTTGTAGTCCGAGGGTATCACTGCTATTTCTAGATTCAACCTCTTGCGATACCATGGATGTGGATTACTCGAAACTCTGCTTACCCTCAACAGTTCGTCAGTTTAAGTTATTCTGTATCGAGAATTAATGTCAAACTGAGCTGTCAATAGTCTTCCCATCTTTTTTTATTATTAGGGATTTTGTATGTCAGGTTGTTACTTAACTGAAAAAATATTTGGACAGCCTAACTTTTTCTCTTCTAATATTGATCTATTAAATAGATTACATGAATAATGTAGTTTTCGTGAATAAGCATCACTTTTTCACTTCATTTCAATACAAACAACCAATCATACACCATCAAGTACCTATTATACTTCTCAATAGCATAGTGTTAGTGTATAAACGGTTAATCAAATAAACAAATCATTTAGAATTTTCAATTTTATTTTAACGATTTTCAAACTGTTTTCTACTTTGCATCTCTATCTTTTTTTCAATCACTGTCTTGATGAATAAATATCAGTTTATAATGTGCTAATCATGTCACTATCACTTCTGAATGTTTAACAAAGTAATCATTTCTTAGACCTATCATAATAATGTAATCATAATAATAAAGGTGCATTTCACTGCACAAATTTCATACTTGTTTTTAATGTTAATAGAAACAATTATGTGGTAATTCAAACGCCTAAATTTCAATACCTTAATCCTCTTGAATCCCAATCCTCCTTCTATTTTAATCGAACTAGCTAATTATCTTGTTTTCCTGTATATAATAAGCTTGGTTTAAAGTTTAGTACATTGATTTGTGCCTGATTATTGAATGACAAATGTTTTCAATGTTAAATTACCATGGTGAAGCAAGTATTTTTTGTTTTTCTGGAGAATCAAATCGATTTCTACACAGTGATTACTCATTTAATTATTTCAGTATATTATTAGTGAGAGACAATTTCATTTTTCAAAATGAAAGCCTATGAGTATGATTTAGTAATGGGAGTTGTACAACTATAATAGATTTATATTCATAATCAAATACTTTCTTAAGATTTCCCAGTGGAAAATTTTCATCCTTCGGTAAAAAAATTTTTCTGACGTAGAAACTTACTTAAATATCTAGAGTTTAGAGTGTATTTCATTAAAGGTAAATAACCATTTTTCAACATTTTACCTGTGTTTTTTGTCGAGGTTGAAATTACTGCTCCTATCAATGCATCAGCTAAGGAAATCGGTACACATCGTCCATATTATGTATGGTTTGAAAATACTTCACCGAACAAACTTCAACAACACCAATCACCTCAAGAATCCAATACTTTGTTACTCACAGTTGAACAATGGACTGTACGCTATTATATGGCTAATAAAAATTTTGAACACGGTAAGTAGAAATGATCCCTTCTTTATCTGATAAAGGATTACATTCCATTCCAAGTTTCATCTTCCTGTTACTTCTCCCTTCATCTCAATCCGTATATATAATATCAGAATTTTATCAATAATCACCACCATATTGAACACGTATTCTCACTTTGAAATTCAGTCAATTAAAAGATACGAGAACACACTGGTTATTAGCTTAAACGGATCAAATGAATTATAGTTGGACTTATTCATTTCGTTGAATCGCATATATGGTTTGATAGAGGTAATGTGTGATTAAATACACATACAGTGTTAGTCAATGCAAATCATGATGTCACTAAGTGATATTCCTTCAACTATCTGTATGACATGTTTTATTTCCCAGTTTAAATTGCGTATTAACATGTTTGGATATAAATAGTCATTAAATAATTGCTTTGTACTTCGATCGGAAGCTTTTTACTCATTGTGTATGGTGCAAAAACAATTGTTTCTTTTAAATGTTTTTCTAGTTTTACAAGTTAATGTTCACATCTAATGTATACAGTTTTGAATGAATAAATAATAATTATTTTATAGTTAAGATCATGAGTCAATTGAAGCTAGACCACCATCGAAAACCTGGAAGCACTGGACGGCCGTTTCGTCCTATTATGGGACTCCTCAGCAGTGCGCATCCACGAACCCGCTCTCGCGAGATTCGAACCCAGGACCTACCAGTCTCGAGCCGGAGCCCTTAACCGATAGACCACTGAGCTGGCATCCAACGGTGTTAATGTCTAACCTCAACCAATCCACGAAATTGCGCAACCAACTTCCAATGTACTGAGGTAGATACCTGTCTCTACCTGACATGGATTAGCTCCACTGGCCACGACTTCTCACTAGAACTCCATGAATTACCTCAAGGAGCCAGTCCCTAGTGAGCATATGATCATTATCACAAGAAGGGTTTTTGTGGAGATTTAGTAATTTTATAGTTAAGATCATGAGTCAATTGAGGCTAGACCACCATCGAAAACCTGGAAGCACTGGACGGCCGTTTCGTCCTATTATGGGACTCCTCATGATCTTAACTATAAAATTACTAAATCTCCACAAAAACCCCCCTTGTGATAATGATCATATGCTCACTAGGGACTGGCTCCTTGAGGTAATTCATGGAGTTCTAGTGAGAAGTCGTGGCCAGTGGAGCTAATCCATGTCAGGTAGAGACAGGTATCTACCTCAGTACATTGGAATTTGGTTTCGCAATTTCGTGGATTGGTTGAGGTTAGACATTAACACCGTTGGATGCCAGCTCAGTGGTCTATCGGTTAAGGGCTCCGGCTCGAGACTAGTAGGTCCTGGGTTCGAATCTCGCGAGAGCGGGTTCGTGGATGCGCACTGCTGAGGAGTCCCATAATAGGACGAAACGGCCGTCCAGTGCTTCCAGGTTTTCGATGGTGGTCTAGCTTCAATTGACTCATGATCTTAACTATAGAATTACTAAATCTCCACAAAACCCCCCCTTGTGATAATAATTATTTGATATCATGAGATGTTTTATCATATTTATAGATATCTTATGATTAGTTCTATTGATGTTTTAGGTCTTCTAAAGCTGTGATTAAGTAGCTTGAGCATTATGGTTTTGGATATAAAAATTTTAACGTGATTTTGTTATTGATTGTCTCTTACATAATCAGTACAACCATATTATACCGGAGCAAATTTAGAATAGATTAAACGTTCACAACTACCAGAAATTATTGTTTATATTTTAGTTGTATAGTTGTTACATAATTATAAAACGACTTATTCAACGAAAAGATCCTTTACAACAAGTTCATTTTGAAAGCTTTATAATTGTATATGTATGTAAAATAAATATGTGACCCAAGACAGTGGAAGATGGTTGCGCAACATCATGGATTGGTTGAAGCTAGACATTAACGCCATCAGATCCTGGCTTAGTGGTCGAAAGTTTAAGCTTTCAACGCGAGGCCGAAAGTCCCGTGTTCAAGTCCTTTGTGCGGGACCATGTGCGCACATTGCTGACGAGTCCCATACTAGGACGAAACAACCGTCCGTTGCTTTAAGGTTTTCAATGGCGTTCTTTTATTAATGGGTTCATGATTTCCATAAACTTCAGCAATCTGCATATAACCTATTGTTGTGAATTTAAGACTGTCATGTAATTGTTATGGGTTTATGTGCGACCTTTTTCTACGTGATTTATTCACCAGTCAAAATACGACTTATCCAATCTTATCACTGTGCCAAACCAATGACGTTCGACCAACATGAACAGCCTAGCGTCCTTATTGGTCCCTTGTCCGCCTAGCCCTTCCAGTTGAGTCCAGAACACCAATAACATCTGCTATGTGAATCCTTTATTTCAGACATACTTGGTTTATATACCAGACAAACAGACCACATTTCACCACAAAATGGAAAATAATATTTCTTCAAGATCAAACCGAAATGTGGCTGTGGACGTGTGAGACAGTAATCAATAAAATGAACATAATTTGGGAACAGTAAATCGTTTAATAATAGTTTATAGGTCAAAATGAAGCTTATGTTAAGAGGAATATAGATATACATAATCTAGTTCCTGTTATACAACGGGAATATATATATATATATATATATATATATATATATATATATATATATATTTAATATCAGTCTGTTAATAGATCTCAGAAGTTACCTGTAACTTAATCTTCACTAGGATAGAATACCTATTACTAAAAATAGTGTAATTGTTATTGACAAAATACATTCCTGTTAAGGATTTATTTAGCACTTATAACCGGTCTAATTTCCAATAAACGTTGATTAATTTGTCAACTTATCGTATAAAACCCGTTTATTAAGTTTTGTCATTTTAAAATATTAATATACACTGATATGTCATGATTAGTTTTCGTTTTTGATTATTCCTATCGTTATTTTCTAAAGGCATACATTGTGAATCACAGATATATCATCTTTTATTCTGCATACTTTTTTATGATATTTTATTCGAAATATCACCATCTCCACCGGATGTCTTCTATTCATATCGTCAGTCAGCGCCATTAGATTTATTTACAGATGAATTTTATCAGTCGAGAAAAGATTTAATCGATGCTAGATTGCAATGGCTCTTGACTGTTGATCAATCAGATGATGTAAGTAATTGCAGTTGGTGCTAATTTTCAAATATATTCAATTTTGTCGATGTAAACAAGGACAATCAGCATGAATAAGTGATAAATAAATCTATTCCCATTTGAGCCTAATGCACAAAATATTTACCCATTACTTCTATAGACGATGCTAGTTTTGATCATTATTTGTTTGAAGAAAAATCATTGATTTAATCCTTTGTGTCATACTCCAAAGAACTGTACATAATAACAACGACGAAAAACTAATAGATAGAAGCGTTACCACGAATCGGTTAAGCTAAATTGCATTTAGCGCGGTCCTACGCATTTATAATGATCAAAAAATAGAGTGATTCATCAATGTATTTACGTTAATATTCATTCCGTCTTAGTCATCCAACAAAGATTATATTCTCAGATAATAAGTGAAGTACCACTCATAAGCTGAACGTTAATTAAATTGTGTGAGAATGGAGTTAGTAAGGTGTGAATTATTTCGTTTGTTAATGAGAAATGCTAGAACTTCTTGCTATAATCTATATTAGTTAAGATGTTTTCTTAAATTAGACTCAATTTGGGGTACTCGATCAATTCTTTCTTTTATGTGTATGGAACTGGTTAAGTAATTTAACGTTTCCTTTTACCAGGTATATTATTACGTACTCATTTTTTAGCCTGACTGTATAAGAGCTATTGATACTTATCCAGTTGCCAAAACCAAAGTGTGGTACGGGTTTCGTACTTCCAAATGGATAGATTTAACGAATATACCGACACACTTCAGCCAACTCGGTATCAGCTATGGAAATCACCGGTTGTTTCTGGTTCATTCAAAACAAATTTGCTTTCTTTTAAGCATTCGAGCCATCAGGTTTATGGAACCTCATATATAGTTTTAGTAAGAATTTCTTTAAAAACATGTGTACATGCACATAAGGACTTTCCTTATCTATATTCTTTTTGAAACATTCAGTATATCAAGAGATTTTAGATACTTAAAATAATTAAATAACTTTAGGAAGGATTGTCTACGTCTTTATATGTGTGTATTTGTTTATATTTTCTATTCGAGGTTATTCATAATGTACCCTGTATTGCATATTCTTCTAAAGCCGTTTCCCTTTCATTGAGAAATAAATAAACTTATTGCTTTTCCCTCCCTTGCAAATTATCTAGCATTCTAATTCTTTGGCATTTCGTATCCATACGTATTGGGAATTACATAATGGTGAACGTTGCGTGTGGGCTAATTGGGATTTATTAAAAAATTCACAGGAGCTTATAGTGAGCTAATCTTATTTATTTATTTGTATATTTCATTTGTTTAGTTTTGTTCGTTATATTTTAAATTATTTCTGTTTTGTCTTTATATCATTCAATAAATTATGCATTAAACTAACAATTAAATGGTTTTTCAAAAGCTTTAATCCTTTTTTAAATAAACGTTTAATTTTTAGACCGTCTTTCAATATTGTGAGTTTAAAGTTGTATAACTGTAAGGTATGACTACTTTAAATCATTCGGTCTCAGGTTGGAACAGTGGCAATGTAACTAACTTTTTCCCAAAGATAATCGTGTGGTTGAAAACGGAGTGGATGAATCTGTATTGTAATACTAAGTTGTACCTTATAGTCAAAAGAATTATAACCAAGTGAATTCATCCAATTTATAGAATTGTTTTGGTGAAAAACAATACGAAACGAAATTTTTGAGATATTGATGTTTTCTCTATGGCTTACTTACTTACTTACGCCTGTTACTCCCAATGGAGCATAGGCCGCCGACCAGCTTTCTCCAACCCACTCTGTCCTGGGCTTCCTTTTCTAGTTCTATCCAGCTCTTGTTCATTCTTCTCATGTCTGTCTCTATTTCTCGGCGTAATGTGTTCTTTGGTCTCCCTCTTCTCCGTTGACCTTCAGGATTCCATGTGAGGGCTTGTCTTGTGACGCAATTAGCTGATTTCCTCAAGGTGTGCCCAATCCACTTCCAGCGCTTCTTCCTGATTTCTTCCTCCGCTAAAATCTGGTTTGTTCTCTACCACAGTAACTTGTTGCTGATAGTGTCTGGCCATCGGATCCGAAGTATTTTGCGTAGACAGCTGTTGATGAACACTTGTATCTTCTGGATAATGGCTTTCGTAGTTCTCCACGTCTCCGCCCCATACAGTAGAACTGTCTTGACATTTGTATTGAAAATTCTAACCTTGGTGTTGGTTGACAATTGTTTTGAACTCCAGATGCTTTTCAGTTGTAGGTATGCTGCTCTTGCTTTGCCGATCCGCGCCCTCACATCTGCATCTGATCCACCGTGTTCATCAATGATGCTGCCCAGATATGTAAAGGTTTCCACATCCTCCAAAGCTTCTCCGTCAAGTGTAATTTGATTGGTGCATATTGTATTGTATCGGAGAGTCTTGCTTTTCTCTTTGTTTATATTGAGACCTACTGCTGCTGAGGCTGCTGCTACACTGGTCGTTTTCTCCTGCATTTGTTGTTGCGTTTGTGATAGAAGAGCCAGATCATCCGCGAAGTCTAAATCGTCAAGCTGCATCCTGCCTGTCCATTGTATCCCGTGATTTCCTCCAGATATTGACGTCTTCATGATCCAGTCGATCACCAGGAGAAAGAGAAACGGTGAGAGTAAGCAACCTTGCCTAACACCGGTCTTTACTTGAAACGAGTCGGTGAGTTGTCCTCCGTGGACGATTTGGCAGTTTAGTCCATCATAGGAGTTCCGTATGATATTGACTATCTTCTCAGGCACGCCGTAGTGTCGAAGAAGTTTCCATAGTGTCGTCCTGTCCACGCTATCAAATGCCTTCTCGTAGTCAATGAAGTTGATGTAGAGTGATGAATTCCATTCGGTTGACTGTTCCACAATGATACGTAGAGTTGCGATTTGATCTGTGCACGATCTATCCTTACGAAATCCAGCTTGTTGATCTCGAAGTTGAGCGTCCACGGAATCCTTCATCCTGTTTAACAATACTCGGTTGAAGACTTTTCCTGGTATTGAGAGAAGAGTGATGCCCCTGTAGTTGTCGCACTTGCTAAGATCGCCTTTCTTTGGTATCTTGATCAGAAGTCCTTTTTTCCAGTCTGTTGGTACTTGTTCTTCTTCCCAAATCTTACTGAAGAAGATGTGTAGTATCTTGGCAGTTGCTGTTACATTTGCTTTCAGTGCCTCTGCCGGGATGTTGTCTGGTCCCGCTGCTTTGCCGCTCTTGATTTTTCTAATGGCCATGCTGATCTCTTCAATTGTTGGTGGGCCAATATCGATTGGAAGGTCTGTGGGTGCTGCTTCGATGTTGGGTGGGTTCAGTGGGGCTGGTCGATTCAAGAGTTCTTTGAAGTGTTGTACCCACCTGTTTCGTTGTTCTTCAATGTCGGTGATTACTTTACCTTCTTTGCTTTTCACTGGTCTTTCTGGCTTACGGTAATTTCCAGCAAGTTTCTTTGTTGTATCATACAGTTGTCTCATGTTTCCCTCTCTTGCAGCCTTTTCCGCTGTCATCGCTAAATCTTCCACATATTTATGTTTGTCGGTCCTGATGCTCCTCTTCACTTGCTTGTTTGCCTCTCTGTATTCGGCTTGTGCCTTGGCTTTTTCCGCTCTGGTTCGGCTGGTGTTGATTGCTGCCTTCTTGTTCCTCCTTGCTTCAATCTTATCCATTGTACCAACAGTGATCCATTCCTTGTGATGGTGCTTCTTTTGGCCCAGAACGTCTTGACACGTTGAAACGATTGCCTCCTTGATACCTTTCCAGTTGCTCTCCATGGTAGTTCCCTCTCCATTGAGTAGATCATGAAAGGCTTCGAAGCTGTTGCTGAGGGCTATGTTGAATTTGTTGAGTTTGTCAGCATCTCGAAGAAAGGCCGTGTTAAACTTTTGTGATGTTGTCCGAGCGGTTGTCCAGTGCTTCTTGAGTTTTAGTTTCATCTTGGCGACCAGCAAATGATGATCGGATTCTATATCAGCTCCTCTTCTGGTTCTCACATCCTCCATCGTCCTCCTGAACATTTTGTTGATGCAGATATGGTCGATTTGATTCTGTGTAGTGTGATCCGGTGAAATCCCAGTGGCTTTGTGTACGTTTTTGTGTGGGAATATGGTGCCACCTATGACCAGTTTATTGAAGGCACATAGGTTTGCAAATCTCTCACCATTTTCGTTCCTTCCTCCCAGTCCATGTTGTCCCATGACGTCTTCGTATCCAGTGTTGTCCATTCCAACCTTAGCATTGAGATCTCCCATCAGAATTGTCAGGTCCTTGGTTGGGCACTTCTCGACGATCGACTGCAGCCTATCGTAGAATTGTTCTTTAGCGTCTTCATCGTAGTCGTTGGTAGGCGCATAGCATTGGATGACGTTCATTGTAATGCCCTCTCTCTTTGTTTTGAAGGAGGCTTTGATGATCCTTGGTCCATGAGATTCCCATCCAATAAGTGCATTTTGCGCTTTTCTGGACAGCATCAATGCAACTCCTTGTGTATGTGGGGCATTTTCTTCTTCATGACCGGAGTATAACAGAAGTTCTCCTGAAGACAGTCGTTGTTGTCCAACCTGCGTCCAATGTGTTTCGCTGATTCCAAGAACCTCCAGGTTGTATTTTCTAATTTCTGCAGCAATTTGGAAGACTCTTCCGGTCTCCCACATTGTTCGGACATTCCATGTACCTATAAAAATTTTCGCTCTGGTTGTAAGAAGGTACATCGGCCTCATGACTTCCGAATGAACTCGGCTTTCATCGTCAGACGTCATAATTATTCCTTCTACTCCCAGGGCAGAGTTTGAAAGGTTTGAATGATTTTTTCTGGTTAGCGTTTTGTTAGCGAGTTGATTTTCTACGGGATGGGGTCGCTAACCCCATGCCCAACCCTCCTCCTTTACCCGGGCTTGGGACCGGCAGTAACCCCCAGAGGAGCTACAGGCGGAGTTTTCTCTATGGCTACTGCTTTCATAATTCCAAATAAGTGTTTTCCCTTCCACATTTCTGTTAACACATACAGCTAAGAGACAGTAATGTATTTGATCGTTGTGGGGTATTTCCATATCTATCCCAATATCGTTGAAATTTAGAGTTTTGCTAAGCACAGATATTGATCATCTTATCTTGGCATAGGGGCTATCAAACACATAAGCATAGGTTTTGTTAACTTTTATCATAAAACAACTTTGAGCCTTTTTTATCTTTGAAAGTAGTTTATTATACAACCGAAAGTTTCTTATTTGTAATTTTTTTAGTGATAATTTATGGAGTAATAACAACTTCATGAATAAGGTATTATAGGAACTTTTTCATTTCAGGACATATTTTGGTGCCTTGGACCTTCTGTAGTTCACGATGTTTGTCGTAAATTAGCTACAGACTACAGAAATTGGAGGTCGGGTCTTCCTGATCTTTTATTATGGAGTCCTACAGAAACGCGAGCTAAGGTACGACATCGTTTTGTTCCACTTAAATTTTCTTGTCACATTTGACGAAATTTCCAGTATTGGTCCTAAGTTTCCGTATGAATTGGTTTGAAGCTTCCATGTTCCATCCTATCTAGATCATTATATTATTTGTGTGAATTTATACCTACTAATAACAATAAATGTTATCTTCTAAGTGATTAATACAAAATGATTTTGCAGTTCCCGACCGTTACTGCTACCTTGACGTGGTGGTCAGGCTTGCCTATCGTGATGAACCAATCGAGCTATGCTGGCTGGAACAATCGTTCCTCAAGGTCCTACCATGCCAGACAGGTCGGTTGAAGAGCGGTGAGACTAAAAGCAGCAATCCCAAGGTCCGAAGGCGAAGTCGTACTGCTGACTGTACAGAGGTGTGACGGCAGTAAGGTGTTTCCTTCAGACAACCAGCATGACAGCGATGCTGCCTTCCCACAAGGAGTGGTGGGGTTAGAAAAGGTCGACTCTAAAAATGCACACCTCGCCTTATCCCACGGATTTCCGTCTCCGGCGGTAAGATCCTTTGAAAAACGGAGCTAACACGTCAAAATTCCCCCAGAAAAAGGCCGTGCGTGAACGACCTCAGGCAGTTGTCCCTTGGGCACTGTGGTCACGCTCCCAGGTCGTTAAGACCAAAACTAATCCAACTTCTTTTCCAGGTCCCTCAAGAAATACCCTTCCACCGTGTGGGCAGCCGGGAAATGATACTAGCCCTCATACCCTTAACTGCACACGAGACCAAGTTGGTCACTTTCAAATCCTCCCTACACCTCCTAATAACTCTTATATCTCCACGACTAACCCTTCCCACGTCCTTTTATCTCCTCACACCGCTAGGGCAAACTTATCGCACTGATAGACGCTCGAAAACTCATCCCACCTGGCTCTGAACATAACGAAGAGCAGAGTCAGCTTAAGCGAATGCTAATAAGAAGCCTACGCAATGATCGTGAACAGTGGTGGGTAGCGAAAGCAAGAGAGATGGAAAAGGCATCAGCAATAGGTAACAGCAGACAGCTATTCAGACTCGTTAAAGAAACCGGTATTAGGAACCCAAGTATCAGTGAAACCATCTCAGATAAAGATGGGCATATTATTCATTCTCAATCCAGGAGATTGGATCGATGGGCAGAACACTTTAGGGATCAGTTCAACTGGCCTTCAGCCACACTTCAATTACCCACGATCCCCAGTCGTCCTGAATGGCAAATTGAGGTAAGTCCTCCAACTCTCTACGAGGTTGAAAAAGCTATAGGAAATCTGAAGCGAGGGAGAGCCGCAGGCCCTGACAGGTTTACTCCTGAGATTTTTAAGGATGGTGGTCCAGTACTAGCAACAAGATTGACTGAGGTCTTAGGTAAAATCTGGGAACTGGACGTAATTCCATCTGACTGGTCCCAATCACTGATTGTGCCAGTCTATAAGAAAGGACAAAAGTCCTCCTGTGACAATCACAGAGGAATCAGTTTGACTAATATAGTGTCTAAAATATTAGCTTCAATAATACTTGGACGCTTAACCAAAGCTCGTGCAGAGCAGACTAGAGAAAACCAGGCTGGTTTTCGACCTGGACGTGGTTGCATAGACCAGATATTCACCCTACGTCAGGTCCTAGAACATAGACACAAATTCAGACGTCCCACAATAGTAGTATTTCTTGACCTTAAGGCGGCATTTGACTCCGTTGATCGTGAGGTTCTATGGCAGTGTTTGTCACTGAAAGGAGTACCAAAGAAGTACATTAACCTCATAAAGGCTCTCTACTCGAACACAACTGGTAGAGTTAGAGCCTATGGCGAACTGTCATCGGAATTGGTTACCTCAAGTGGTGTTCGTCAGGGCTGTCCATTCTCCCCATTCCTGTTTAACTTTGTCGTTGACATACTTTTGGAGATAACACTTTCATCATCTCAATCTCCTGGAGTTGAACTTTTACCGGATGCTCACTTGTTGACTTAGAATACGCCGACGACATAGTTTTATTCGGTGAAGACGCTGACAACATGCAGAGTCTTCTGACAACTATAAGCAACAATGCAGGCATGTTCGGAATGCGATTCTCTCCCTCGAAGTGCAAAATGTTACTTCAGGATTGGGTTGCAGCGACACCTGAACTAATGATAGGGAGTGAAGTAGTTGAGCGTGTTGACAGCTTCACTTATCTTGGGAGTCTCATCAGCCCTTGTGGTCTGGTGTATGACAAAATCTCAGCACGGATACAGAAGGCTCGTCTAGCTTTCGCCAACTTGCGTCATTTATGGCGTAGGCGAGATATCCGTCTAGCAACAAAAGGACGGGTTTACTGTGCAGCAGTTCGCTCCGTCCTTTTTTATGGCAGTGAAACATGGCCAATAAGAGTAGATATTCGTAGGCTACTAGTGTTCCATCATAGATGTCTTCGACTCATTGCTCGTATATCCTGGGACCACCGGGTAAGTAATACAGATGTTAGGGAACGGGTACTAGGTAACGATGGCAAATCGATTGATGAAGTAGTGAAACTTCATTAGTTGAGATGGCTGGGACATGTGTTACGTATGCCCAACCACCGACTGCCCCGACGTGCAATGCTTTATGGTGTAGGAGTAGGTTGGAAGAAAGCTAGGGGTGGCCAGACCAAAACATGGCATAAATCCATGAAGTCATTGACAAGTGGACTGAGCCATGTTGGTAGGTGTAGACTACCTGGTTGGGATTCGCGAGATGACAGCAACCGATGGTTAGAGACCTTGAATGACATGGCTCAAAATCGTTTGCAATGGCGAAGGTGTATCCACTCTTTGTGTTCTACCAAATTCTAATCTGAATTCTTCATGTCTGTATCCTTTTTCTCTTTCCAAATTTATTTCACTGTATTATACTCCTTCAATAACATCTTCAAACCTTAATCTTTCGGATTACTGCTTATACTCTTACTACTTCTACCATTATGGGATTTGAATCGACAACTTCATCTCTGTGCTAATGTGGTATGGCAACTCGAACTGATGTACGTACGTACAAAGTTCTACGTTGTAACTGACTGAATTTGCAGTTACATTGAAGACTTTCATAAGTTTTTATATAGAGTATATAAGATGCAAAAGTCAATGGGATAGGCGAAAACTGTTTTCACTATCACGTAAGGGGTCGGTTAACGGAGCATGACTATTTATAGATCCCTCGAACTACACAAGTTAAAATATTTCCTATGATTGAAATAATTTACAAGGTTATGAATAAGCTTTTCCAATGATGTGTTAGCAGTGGATAAAATTATCTAAATTCAATACTAATTACAGACTATATCTTATAATACAATAGATTATTTGTCGTTCGTGATCTTTTAAAGGTATAAAGATAAAATGAATGGAACTTTATGTCAGAGTGGACTCAGAAGTATAATAAATATTAGAATAAATAATATTTATTTTTAATAAGATATAATTAATTGGATGCAGGTGTAGATCTAGCTGATAAGAGCATAACAAGTCAAAGGGTACTTCTAATATAGAATCTTCGAACAGAATCGTTCCGGTTAACTTTCCAAATATACATTATGAGCTATTTCTTTTTTTTCAAAAGCAAATAACTGCCCATCTGTGTAAGTCAATCTAGTTTGGATACTTTTAGCAATTATATATTATTGAAATCTTTCTATTCAGTTTCAAAGTCGTCTGCTATTTCCTCACCCTTCAACTATTGATTCTGTAGTAATTGAGTAGGTTTCTTGTTAAGGTTTCAGTTATGAAGATTGTACTTTTATTTAATTTGAATATTTAAATAATTCGGTTATCGCTGTCATAAATTATTCATTATTATTTATCATATTTCAAATGTAGATTGTAGAAGTTAAAGGACCCGGCGACCATTTATCCACTCAACAAATAATGTGGCTTGATGTACTTGTCCAGGCTGGTGCTGATGTAGAAATTTGCTTAATATCAGGTAAGTTATATTTTTGTCTGATATTTGAAACAAAGGCCACCAGGCTGCATTACATGTGATTTATTTATAAAATACTTAATCATAATTCGATGGTATGGTGTTAAATAGTTCAACTGTTAAGTTTAAAATGGAATTCCGCGTTACCGTGTTTGATTAATAGCGTGAATGGTTTTCAGTTTTGATAAACTTGATGCTCTTACAAGTTCGCCCTACTCGGTAAACGGAACGAAGGTCAATGACACAGTGACACGATAGGCTATTCTAATCCGTTGTCCCCGGCCCTGCTATTTAGATCAAGACGTCTTGATGAAGCTTAGAGAATTTATGCTATAAGCACTCATAAAATACTAAGCACACAAACCAAGCTTGTTTATACAATGATAGAAGCGCGCTTTGGAGAGACACAAAATAGCGTACTAAAAAAACCCGTCCACCAATGACAGTCAAAGATTCCCGAGTGGGGAATGTAAGCTGTAGATCAACTCTTGGCGTGGAAACATGAAATTTTTAGAATAAAATTACAAAATTAGGACATTTTGCTAGTGAGTTCTGGGGATCTAACGTCCCCAACAAGTTTATTCTCAAAAACCATTCACTTCACTGACATATATTTTAAAGCAAGTAAATGCCTACTGAATATCTCTTGTTTTCCACTTTTGATCTAGGTCAGCTTATAGCAATTAAAGACACTATTTGAATATCGGTAGTTCTGTAGTTCTATTTCTTCACATCAGAACTCCGAAATTCTTAGGAATAATCCCTCTGAAAATGTGATCGTTTTTTATACGTATTACCCAAAATACAAATGACTTGATACTAATATTTTACAATGGGTGAAATATTTGTAAATAGAAGGAATATGGTTAGCAATGGGATCTAGGACACACGTTTCTTGCTATTTGGGACTCATCAGCTGAACGTACTTGCTTCCCAGAGTTGATGTTTACTCCGGGGTTCGGATTCTACCCTTCTCTTCAAATTCGAAAGCGTCATCCGCCTATCTAAATGAGTCCAGACGGCCACCTACTTTTGCAGGTACATCCAACTATTCAGTCTCAAACAGCAACAAACGGGCGTCCTAGATCACACTGTCAGCCCCATTCCTTCTATTCTATATAAACTTGCGAAATAATGATGATATTGAGGCGCTGATACACACATACCAACCATTACTGATCGAAATTCAGACCAAATAATATCGTCTGAAAAAATAATTGAACATCACCTAACTTCATACAATCGTTTATCCTATGACTGTAAGATTAGTGGAATCTATCATAATCGTCCAAAACCTTGTCGATAATATTATTATTTGAATAATTTTTCGTTGTCAGTTGACCCACAATTTAGCACGGTTTTCATCTGATGTCATTGGTGAGCCACTACATCCATACATAGCCGGTGAATTTTATCGCGTTCGCCAGAAGATCGGAGTATTCTATGCTCGGTCCAGTTGTTGGGTCGTAGGTAGGAGTTACTGAAGAACCTCAAACTACAGTAAAACAATAACTGTAATTGCAAGAAAAGGTGGATAGTGACTAGCCCTCAAATGCCCTGGTACGGCCGAGAGTGGGGAGTCTGCTCTCCCTCCCGAAATGCTCTCACATGCCCAGCGAATATATAGCATCTACCAGGGAAGTCCTACTCACTGCCTTCTCGTGGCGGTGGTGTTGTTTACGAAAGTGAGAGGACGAAAAGCGAATGTCCGGCGCTTTAACCGGGTTGGTGGACACGGAAAGTCCACCTAGGGGAGTTGGAAAACCCTGATTCCAAACCAATGGTGTACATAGGCTCCAGTATCCTGAGGGAACAAATGGCGTGCGAATCAATCGTTGATCATTGGCTACCATGGGACTGCATCTCCTCACGATGCTCCACTGCCCTGTGGATCAGATCTTTCAGTCAAAGGCTCCGGGTGTGGCCCCCTAAGAAAACCACCTGGGCAGTATCACAGCCCTCACACAAATCAAATGAGATTTGTGAGGCGCATATGTATCTGGCGCTTTCTTGTACCAATATTTATGTGTTTAAATAAATAAATAAAGCAGTGGAATCCAGGACGCGTGTTTCGTCCTATTTGGGACTCGTCAGCTGGATGTACCTGCATCTCAGGCCCCAAATAGGACGAAACGCGCGTCCTGGATTTCTTTGCTAGCTACTATCCATCTATGCTTACAATGCTTGTGAATTAAAGCTATATCGAGGCGATACGCACAGTATGCACATATGCCAATTAGAGACTGACCAGTTGCAGTCCTAAAACATCAATGGGAAGATTCAAACAAACAATACTAATTGAATTTAATAAGCGTAATGCTTCTTTGACTGTCGTTAGTTTTGTATCTACCAGTCTAAAATCAGAAATTATCCTTAACTTGAACCAATTCCTATAAAATGTATCGTACTTTATAAACTATTGAATTGTATCAAGTGATCTAAATAGAACGTATAAAATATTTCCACTTCGTGTTTAAAAACATTTATTTATAATTGGTCATATCCGTATTATTAACACAATATTTGTTTCAATGAAATTAATTGGATACATTTCAAATATGTAAATGTTTAATTTTTTCTAGCTGAACCACTAAAATCGCTCCGTTCAAAATTCAGCCATTGAAATGGAACAAAATAATAAGATTTAACCAATTTATTATTTGAAGTAAAAAGAAAAAAACAACAACTACACTATACCGTTGAATTCAATTGTATATCATATCATTTCCATATCTGTTTTTACATCACGATTCTCCTGTATTTTCAAATCTTAATAATAAATACTTTCAAAGATTAAAATCGTTTTTTTCCTCCTCACTGTTTGTCTTTCTCGAAAATAGAAATATAGTTCAAATGGATTATTTATTATAGAAATTCTATGGAATATCGTCATCGTGATCTTTCGTTAGAGACTCATTAGTTGTTTCATAATTATAGTCAGTATAATATATTAAAAATTAGAATAATTCTTATTATACATTAAAAAATAGTGCATTTCTTGTTGAAAAAAATTAATCATTAATAAACTTAAACAGATATAAGAGATTATATACTATGTGAGTATTGTCACTAATTAACTAACGTTATATTAAGATATTTAATCGTTCAGATATGAATCAGTAAAGTGATATGCACCTTATTAATTAAAGGTTAATATTTCTCACTACCTAACCTAACTTTTCTCAAATGAATGGAAATGTTTGATCAAATTATATGGTTATAATTCATACGAATCTGCTTTTTCGTAGAAACCTATATAAACAGCAATCATATTTGATGTTCCTTTACTTGCCTCGTTTCATAGGACATATAAGGACACTGTATTGCATTATCAATTATATGGGATTCACATTATTTCTTTTTCATTCTGTTATGCACCAAATTATTATCTGGGGAAACTCGTAAGATTTTGGCAACAATTTACAGCAACACTCATCTATTTGTTTAAGAGAAACTACGAACGAAAGATTATAGTTCCATATAGCGTTAGTTGAGATTTTAATTACTTTTCGTATGCGCTACGTAAGCATACGTTATTAGCTAGTAACTTTGTTTCATATGATATACAGTTAAACGTTTATTATTATAGATAACTTATTTGATCTGTATAACAGTTATCTATAATCCAGCTGTACTTTATTCACTTAGATAGCATGACACCTATAAATGCTGAATATATCAGTAATTTTTTCATGATTGACGTGCTTAGTTGAAGTGGAAATATGTTATACTGTTGCAAGGCCATAAGTTGAGATGCATTGGTGACCGAACTTCTACGATTAAGTGAATCACCTAACGTAATTGTCTAAATAATAATCCGTAAATAACAATTTCCTTGTTATAGTCCTCTCGTCAACCAACTGACTGAATAATAGCGTAAGACACTGGAGTGATTATTTATCATCGAAGAATATTTCTTTCTGAAATCCACTATCTAATGAACGATAGACAGGACAAGGTCAAGATTCAGAGGAACTTGGTTTCTGCATGAGTTCGTTTATGATACGATGCGAGACTGTCAAAATATTTGGTGTAAATGAACATCTGGTACTGTGTTTTATTGAGTCACAAAATTCACAGTGGTTCACTTCAACAAATTACACCAAACCAACTGGCATTCGATGCACCAGTATTACCTGAATTCTTCAATACCTAACCTTTAGACTGATGTCTTTTGCCTGTGTTATAATTTCTCTTATTACGACCCAGCCATTCCTATTGCATAGTATTCTTGGACACAAATTCACTCGACAAGTCTCCAAATCAGAGCACGAATGAACAGGAAAGAAATTTTATTCTAAATAACAAGGGTAGATGGAAGGAAGAAGCACAAAAGAAATACGTTAGTATATTTATAGTTTTTACATGGGAAGATTCTAGAGTGTTCTCCAAGTATCGACTACCGCAGATTGAGTAAAACTTAGCCATTCAGCGCAACCGTGCATGGAACATGCTTTAATCGAATCTATGTCCGCTAACAGTCTGGTATACCCAGACAACAGTCAACTGAATAAATTAACATATAGGAAACAAGAAAACCTGTTCTCATACAGTTAGATATGTACTGAAATCACACAAACATTGGTACGAGGAGGCACCAAATATATATGCGCCACAATTAATTTAGTATTTGCGAGAGCTGGTATACTGCCCAGGCGCCTAAAACTGAAGCAGGTAGGGGGGTCACTACTCGAGCTTTTGGCCTAGAGGTCTAATCCACAGGGTAGTGCAGCAAAGTTAAGACATGCAGTTCCATGGTAGCCCGTGACCAACAGTAAGCTCATACGCCATGTCTTTCCGTAGGATCTTGGGACCAAGGTGCATCATTGGTTTGGAATAAGGGTTTCATAACTCCCCTAGGTGGATCCTCCATATCCGCCCACCCAGTTAAAGCGCCGGACATTCGCTTTTCGTCCTCTCGATTTCATAAACAACACCTGCCGCAAGGAAGTGAGTAGGACTTCCCTGACCGTGACACTATCACAAGGATGCTTTATTGCAGTCACGTTAAGCTTTTTCTCTCACTAGTAATCTGTAAGATGAGTTACTGGTCGTAAGTATTGAACCATGAACCAGAATAATAAAAACTCACCTGTCTAGACGAGATTCCTAGAGGTTGCGCGACTTGTGTTATTTGATAGCGCCCAAAGTCCAAGAATTTGCTTTAAATGTCGCAACATAGCGACAATGTCGCCATCAGATCTTACGCAAACATGTAATGAAGAAGCGTTTGGGAATGATCAAGCTTGTTAGGATGCTGACCGATCAGTGATGTGCAATAAAACAATGTGCTTGATTGTTCACAAGACCGACCATTAACATAAGCTTTTTTAAACAGCCCGATATCATATAACAGCTAGTCATAATGATAAAGTATTTTCCTTAGTGAAAAAACATACTCATGTAGGATATATATGAATGACAATTTTCCGTTACATGATTTGTAATTAAATCATTTCAGGTAAATTAGGTAATTTTTCTGTTCGCTGATCTGGATATTAGTGTATTATAAAAAATGACTACCGTCTATTTTTGAAACCGAGCTAATAAGACGTAACTTTGATGCTACCATTAACTTGTTAGATATCTTGTAAGCCCCACTTCTAGCAATAACTGAATATTAAATATTCACTACATGGCATTTTCAAAAAACAACTAACTCGATTACTTTGTTTTGAACCAGATTTACTTCCACATATTCTTTTACCTTAAATCTAACAATCACTAAATAAATATAACCATGTGCAACCAAACGAATATTCAAAAGATTTCACTGGAAAAGCAAAATTGAAGGCAGAAGAAATGTGAATCGGTGTTCTGTTTATTTTTAAACATATGTGAACGTTTTCTAGTATCTGTTAGTTCTTATGTTTCTTTTCATGTGTAAAATTCATAGAGCAAAAATTTAATGCAATTACAGAATTTGAAAGCTAAATAAATAAAGTAAAACTACCCGAACCTACATTAAAGGCGGAGTGTTAAGGAAGAAAAATAAAATATTCCGACGGGAGCAGAAGAGTAACATTTCTGTTCCTACACACTATTAAATTGTTTTCGATTAACACCATACTGAGCTTTATTAATCAGGAAAAAAACGATTATATAAAAGATACCATGAGCGAGAATGTACAAGAAAAGTAAATCGTACAGGTTTTGACAACAGTACAGAACTAGAGTATGCACAAATCTCAATATACAAACCATATATCAATTCAAGCAGTTATAGCATACCTTATTCCTTAATTACAAATTACTGATGTAAGAAAAATAGTTGTTCTATTTTTTTGAAGAAATAACAAAGTGTAGGAAAAAACAGTAACAGAGATGGTTATTGAGAGGAAAATAACTTTCCATAAAAAACAATGATGTTTAATTACCCATCCTCACATAAAATCATCATACTCATCTGGGAGAGCGTCATCATCAACACCATACTGATAATCATTTTCTCTTTCCACTAATAATTTACCTTTCGTTTTCTTTTTTGTTTTACTCTATAATGGCAAGTAGAAAAGACAACTGAATTAAGTAAAAATACATAATTACACGACATATAAAGGTTCACTATTTACACATAAATCCAAGCGTGAGTGTGTCTTTCATATTTTGCCAAACATCTAGCACTACAGGAAATATACTTTTATTCCTAAACCTGTGCTTATAGGTTATATTAAATCTATACATAATATAGGTTAATAAACTAAACATATGATGATATACCTGCAAAATAGATCGAGTGGAATTCGAATATTTTATCTTATGTTAAGCTACCATGTTATAAATTTAAGATGATGAAATACTATACTTTCCATACAAAGAAATTGATTATTGAATGTGTACAACGATTCTACTTGAGAGAGAGTAAAGAATATGTTTTTGTGAACACATTGGTTGCTGCTACGTACACGTGGTGGTCGAACTTGCCCATCGTGATGAAGCAATCAAGCTATACTGGCTGGAACAATCGTTCCACAAGGTACTACCATGCCAGACAGGTCGGTTGAAGAGCGGTAAGACTAACAACAGCAAATCCAAGGCCCAAAGGCGAAGTCGTACTGCTGACTGTACAGAGGTGTGACGGCAGTAAAGTGTCTTTTCAGAAAACTAGCATAACAGCGATGCTGCCTTCCCATAAGGAAGAGTGGACTTAGCAAAGATGGAATCTAAAAATGCACACCGCCTTTTCCCACGGATATCCGTCTCCGGTGGTAAGATCCCAACAAGTACGAAGCTAACACAAAAATCACTCACAAAAAGGTTGCATATGACCGTCCTCAAGCGGTTGTCGTTTGGACAATGCGGTCACGCCTTCGGGTCTCTAAGACCACCCCTAACCTGATTTCCTTTTCAAGTACCCCTAGAAGAACCCTTCCACAGTGTGAGAAACCGGGAAGTGATAACTGCCCTCATACCCTCTGACAGCACTAAAGATCACTGTATTCATTATTTATTTAAACGCAAACATTGATATAAGGAGCCACCAAATAGATATGCACCACATAAATCATTCAATTTGTGTGAGCGCTTGAATATTGTCCGGACGCTCAAACCGGAGCACGTAGTTTTCTTAGAGGGCCACACCCAGAGCGTTTAACCTAAAGGTCTGATCCACAAGGCAGTGGA